GACTTTTTCCACACTGTTTGAGCGGGCTTTCACCGACTCATCAGGAGGTTGAACCCCGACAATCAGTCTGCCCAGGATGCATTTGACTCACCGCGTCGTCCAGAGTTAGCGATAACCCTGAGAAAAGTGGTCGATTTACCTCAGACCAACCCTCTATGATGTATGTGAGACGAAGGAGGAATATTGAGAAGTGTATTAAAAAAAAAAAAAAAAAAAAAAGACTGCACCCGTGTATAATACATCTTAAAGTTTTTGTTAAATTCACAAAATACAATCTTCCCCAAGCCATCGTAAAAGATCATGAAGAGTCAGTAAAGATTTTTTTTATTTTTTTTTTTACGAACATTCTTTTCTTGGACAAAGGGTAACAAAAAAAAAACAACAACAACAACAACAACAACAACAACAACAACAACAACATTATTTTCAATCCCGCTAACTTAGACTAAACATAGTGAGAGAGCCATTACATAGCCACATAGCCACATAGGCATATAGACAGACCCCCGCATAGCCATATATATATCCAATCACATTCATGAAAATCCGCAAGCAAGTGAAGTATGTACAAGAATGTCGGCCCCCATCCCGTTCCGTTACGTTACGTTCTCAGACTGTTCCGTTCCGTTTGGCTTTTGGAAACCCCCCGCTTAACGGCAAAAAAAAAACAATATACAACAGCACAGAAATTACTCCTTCCATCGCCGGCCACCATAAGGAACCACATCCTTCCCTGCCTGCCACTGCCCCACCCACCCACCACCGTCATGGTCTCATCCCAACCCCAACCCCTCCCCCTCCCACTTCGCCTCCCCCGTCTCCATTCCTCCCAGTGCACTCCCTTCGACACCATTTGAGTTCCAAAATAGAATAATTAATCCTGTAATTAACATACATATCGAGCCCTGACCTCACTCTTCCGTCGCCTCCGCTTCCCTCCTCGCAGTTGCCCCGGCCTTCTTCTTTTCAATCCCCACCTCTTCTCCCCCCCCCCCCCCCCCCCCCCCCCCCCCCCCCTCTCTCCCCCCCCCCCCCCCCCCCCCCCTTGCTCATCCCTCCCCCTCCCACGGTAGTCGCTCGCCCACATCTCCCACGACTGTCTCTTCGTCTTTCGGAAACGTCCCTTTCCAAGCATAGCGACTGCTGCTTTCCATTCCCGATTTCATCCTGGACCAATTAACGCAGCTGAAACTAATACAGTAAATGTAGTTTTTGCCGCCACGAGCCCCTCGTCGTTCTCTGTGTGCTTTCTTGTCCGCGCAAGTGGCCGCGGTTCCCTGTTCGACGACATGTATCCGGCGCAATCCTGCTGCTTGCACGCACGAGCTCCTCTCTCGCGTGGGAGAGCCAGCCAGCCAGCGTGCATATGCGCGTCTACTCTCTCTCTCTCTCTCTCGCGCGCGCGCGCGCGCACAGTTTGACGCTCTGACTAGCTGGTTGACTAAGCTAGTCACGTCATATCCGATTGCGCATGTCGGCATCTCGGGAGCCGATTGATTGGCTTTCCTTTGCCCATGAGATCCATAAATGACAAATTGGGCCATGGAAAACGACGTGAGCAACAGACAAGATATCAAAGCACACAGAGTGAGAGAGCGAACGGGACAGAGAGAGAGAGAGACAGAGACAGAGACAGAGAGAGAGAGAGAGAGCGCTAAGACGGGGAATTTATGAGCGAAAGCGGAGCGGGACTTGGAGCTTCGTCAAAGGGAGGGCACCAGGGCGGTTGACTCCTGCTCCTTACCGACAACGCCATTCTTCCACATTTAGTCTTCGTGAGGGGAAGACGGGCGGGGGCACGCGATGAAAGACAGAGGAGGGGGAGGGAGTCTCAGAGCGATAGAAGGGGGGGGGCGAAGGAATTCAAGCAGGGGGCAAGGACAGGAATGTAAAAGGGCAATCACTTGCTGAGGGTCTGGATGATGGTGGTGTGCCACGGGTCAGACAAGTGGGTCAGCAGATTGGCGAAGGGGCCATCGCCAGTAAGCTTGGACTGCACAACGTAGCCGAGGAAGGCAAGCATAGCAAGACGGCCATTAGCGATCTCCTTCTCCTTGGCCTCAAAGCTGGCGGCAAATCCGAGGGGGTTGAAGATTCCACCGGGGTAGCCGACGTCGCCGGGGGGAAGCTTGTTGCCCTTGAAAATGGGGTCCTCGCTCACGCTGCCAGGGTTAATTATGTCCATCCAGCGGCGGCTCTCCACCCACCCGAACAAGAACAACTCCACGATGAACAAGGTCGACGCAGAAGCGAAGTACTCCACCTTGCCAGCGTCATACCACAAGGGGGCGTTCCAGACGCCGAGCTTCGTCAGCACCTCGGGGACAATCATGCCCGCTACTCCCAGCATTGCCCATCTGCCATTCTGGAGCTCCGCCTGGACCAACCAGCGCAGCTGCTCCGGCTCGCGGCCGAGCTCCAATGGGTCAAAGCCGTTATCGCCGGGAAGAGTGCCATCAAGGTAGGCGGGGGACTCGGATCCTGGCAGCCAGTTGCCCTTGGAAACGACGGTGAGCGGGCGGGAGCTGGCGGAAGCGTGCGCGGCGACCGGGCGGATGGGCGCCGCGAGGCGGCGCGTCGCACCGCCACAGAGGAAGCTGCCCTTCAGCGAAGCTGCCGGGGAAGAAGCCGCGGTCCTGTCGGAAGCGGAAAGCTGCGCGGAGATGGCGCTCGGACGGACCGCCGCTGCCGCCGCTTGCGATGCAATGGCCGCCATAGCTACCTGCTGTTGCTTCCGCTCCCTCGCCGACTTACCGCTGTCGGGCTCTCCGCCTCGGTTACGTTACTACCTCCGTCCGTCGGTCGGTCGACTCCGACACCCAACGGCCTATAGATCGATGGATGGGCGGCCGAGCGGAGACTGCTCACGGCGCTTCTCGCCTTCTATTGCCTAACTCCCCTTATGAGGATTCAATCAAATCAATCTGGATTACGAATGTCCGTGGGTCATTGGAGGGGGGGGAGGAAGACGAGGCCACACACGAGGCGCAGTGGCTGCAACGCGGGACGTCCGCAGTTGTGCGACATTGCGCGACACTGGGCGACGTGGTGCGTTGCGGGGAGGTCCGCTCGCAGACCCGTCATGCAAAACCTCGGCGACGAACGACGTAAGCGCGGGTCAGGTCCCGCCATCAAAATCAAAAGAGGAGTGGATTTAATTTAATGCCGGAATCTAGACGTGTTTTTGGAGAGAGGTGCAGAGACTCGTGATCGATTTGCTTCTCTGCATATCCGCATAAAACACGTCCACATTCGAGCGCTTGATCCGATCCTTTTCGCTACTACGTACTACTATACCCTCTTCCCCCGAGCACAACGCACCCTGATCCGAACCTGTTCGCTACCGTCTTCCCCCGAACACAACGCACCCCGATCGTGAATGTATACAAGCCAATCTTTCCGGTCCGGTGCAGCCAAAAACATGAGGGTGCGTTGTGTTCGGGGGAATAGCTTAGTGGGACCTGGCCACGGGGGACGAAAGGAAGGAAGGAGATGGAGGAGCTTGGTTCTCCATTTCCGTTTCCCTTCGTTTGTGTGCGCTAGCTTGTCGCTAAGGTCAGGTGGGTGTCGCAAAATGTTGTGGGCCTCGGCTAGCAGCGAATCTGGTACGTCCGCGGGCCACAGGAGACGATGTCGTGAGAGCATGACGGATCTCATCCGAGATGAGCCTATCACCATCCACTTTCGGTACCCTCCAATCCGGCCTTGAAGCCCAGGAATCCGAAGAAAATCTGAAAAGTGGCGCTTGGCGAGTAGTTGCAGTTGGGGTGAGTTGGTGTGTTCTACCGACCTGGGCCTGCAAAGCCTACGTAGCCACATTTCTGTTCTGGAGGATAATTAATTACTGGAATGACCCTCGAGTAACAAGTAATTACTAGAACGACCCTAGAGCAACAAGGCTTGCACACGTCAGTGGGCGACAACAACTGTGGGGTTAGGGGAAAACGAAAGTGGTCAGGGGCCAGCTAAAGGGGATACCTGCAAACGACTCGTACCCCTGCTAGAGTATGAGCCGTTACAATTACAAACACATTTTTTTCTATACCTTGGCTGCGGGGAGAACCTTCACTGAGGGGCACACCACACTGAGCTATGTCTATGTCTAGGTTTTGGGAAATCTGATGACGATTTTCGCCATCTGACGGACTGTGATGCCTGCTCTTGGACATTGATCTTGCCATGTGACGGATTGCGATCGTCAAATTTCTTGGTACTCCACTGAGCTATCTCTATGTCTAAGGGCGTCATCTGACGGACTGTGATGCCTGCTCTCGGACATTGATCTTGCCATGTGACGGATTGCGATCGTCAGCTTTCTTGGTACTCCACTGAGCTATCTCTATGTCTAAGGGCATTGTTAGACACTTCTTGGGGACTCAATCCGGTCACCAAAGTTGTGGGTACACCGCATCCTAAACAACAAATTCCTCGAAGAAAATGTGAAATGTTCCAAGGACGAATCCCTGGGGAATTAGGATTCCCCAGCCATTTCGTCCTTGGCTCCAAGGGACCCTCGTGAGGTCCCATGGGGCCAAGGATCCGCATTTCGCGGAGAGGAGAGGACACACACGTAGGGAGATGTTACAAAGGTCGAATCCGGATTGTGGCGGCACCCTATTGGCTGAAAGCTTCAAGAACAACTGTTTTTTTTCTTCTTTTTTCTTTTTCCCCGAAAAAGCTTGAAGGTCTAAGGATGAGTCGAACGATGCCGAAAACGCTAAATTTTCCCACGCATTTCGTCCTTGGGCCCAAGGACACTCTGAGGACAGTCTAGCAAGGCCCTAAGTTCTGCTGAGCTATCCATCTGTCTAAGTTCTGAAATTGAACCCTCCTTATCTGAAGTTGATTCCCACCATCTCATTGTTGCCGTCAGATTTCCCAACATACACCAGACTCCATACACAAAGACCTACACATAGTCGAGCAGGGGCTGCCCCTTAGAATCCACATGACCATCATACGGCCTTGCATGGTAGTGCTAGATTGAACCTAGCCGACTAGGCAATGTCTGCGACTCCAGGTCTTTTGAAAAACATGAAAAACAAGGTGTATCAACAGAAGTTCAGAGGGAGATATCCCACGCCATTGTCCGACCTGCGCAAGGGGAGTTCTAATATCCCTGAAGTAGCTGAGTTGAGCTTTAAAATCCTTGTAGCACACTTTGCACTTTCTATGCCCCACTTCTAAAATGGATGCCCAAAGGCCCGCATGGGTGAGGAACTGGAAACAGAACCTTGTGGGGCTCAAGAGGTGGAAGAACACCCCTACTCGTGTATCCACAGTAGTAACAAAGGGTAGCTGGCCGAAACTCAACCTTTGGCCTGCAGCAGGGATGATCATGAGAAAGACAACTATGGCATAAGCGCTTGGAGCACATTGTCAAGAAGAAGAGGACCCACA